ACATCTAAGTCCGATTTCATAACTTCTATTTATTTCGCCTCAACTTGATTTCCCATCACGATTTTGTTATTTTTACAAAGTGACGGCGCCGGCTTTTCGGAGCTGGATTAATTTTTCAGATTTTTTTTCGCATTTTGTTTTTGTTGGTTGCTCGATACTTCGAATGGCCTTTTTTGCTTGCACAATCTTATACAAACAAATGGCTTTTTATTTTATTGAATGGATTTGGGGAGAAAGCCGCGGAGGATAAATTGTTTGGCGAAGATGTTTATCGAGCTTGGATAATTTTCCGATCACGTTGGATTTTTTAATGCTTAGTTCCATCATTGATGGACCATCAAGGATACCTTGATTTAGCCGGCGATATTTCAATTTTAGTTAGCAAAGAGACACCCTTATTCAAAAAATTTTTCAAATCTTAAGGGTATCAACCCGAAATAGCTGTTTGAAAAATGTATTACTACCTGACGGAGGGGTCCCTAAGTTAGCATAGTGACGCCCTTATTCGGCGAAGATTTCTGGGGCAATTATTGTTATCGAATCGGTGCACTAATGAAACTATAATTACCACCACGTTTTTCATAATTACAAAAACTCGCAAAGCAAAGTCAAAAATCGTTGCTTTGCTTCCATATAATTAGATTTCCACACTCAAATGAGCCTATTTTTTATTTTCCCGAAAATAGTGCTGATAAGCAAAGATAACTCTTTCTCTAATGAAGAATCGTATATTTTGCTCAAAACCGAGTGATAATGGCAGCGTTAAATGCATTTTCATGATTTATTATTTGATGTCCAAGCGCGCTCTGTTTTTTGGTAAACCCGGCGAAAAAATTGAACGAATTCAATTATTGTCAATAGCCGCCCTTTTTTGTTGTGGAATGACAGAAATAACAAAGCAAGGTGACAACTTTTAATAGAGAAAAATGAGCTGATCTAATTGAATTTAATTCGTCTCTCTCTTGTTGCCACAGTATCAAGAATTACAGCGTTATCAGCAAAATATTATCAAGAAACATAGATTTTCATGATACAAGCATCAATTACATACAGTAATTCATTTTGACATTACTTATTTTTTACAGGCAAAGTCACGTGAATTCGATTTCTACTGTTATCTGAGACAATTAATTAAGGGGGTAGGCGTCAATAATCGACCTTTTTCTTCATATATTTCTTCATCAAATAACATATTGGCACCCTTATTTTATTTCACAATAGAATGAAGTAAGGGTACCCCTTCAAACAGACGAGATAGACAGTACTTAGTACTTAGTAAATATTCGAATCTTCTTTTCTTTTAACATCGCCGTCTATGACCACGCGGGTGAGTCTAATCCAATGATAGCTGCATTTATCCGCCGAATGAACGGTACCTTGTGGAGAAGATTCAATCTTCAATAATTAAATTCTTGATCTCGACCATTTTATCGAAAATGTTACGAAAGGGAGAGGTATTTTATTTAAAGTCAGTGACAAGGGTTAGCGATAAGAGCAGCCGCAAATCGACCGTGGAGAGTTCCAAGTAAAACATCAGAGTTTTTAAAAAAGTGAAAGACAGGTGCATCGGTCGGGAGAGACGTGTGTGGACCCGTATCGCTTCTAGAGGCGGTTGGAGATAACTTTACTCGACGTAACAGTCCAATGAATAATCATTACGGTGGAAAATGAATAAGAACATAGGCAAAAGAGCTAATTATGACGGTACTTGATCTAACTTCTCGCATAAAATCGAGCCAATCAAAAAGCAGAATTTATTTTATCAGCCAATCAGAAACGCCTGCTTCGAAAAGCCGATTTCGTGACTTTGAATGACGCAAAAGTCCAACAACTAACAAGAAATCTAAGCAAAGCTGGCGAGAAACTTACAGCCCATCAGTCAAAATAAAACTCTAGCACACGTACTTCAAGTCATGTAATCGGCAGCTTCCTCCTTAACTCCACAAGTTTCCCATGATCCGAGCGTCCAGCCGGGAGCTAATGGTGGCTCGTTCATTTTTTTGTGAACCTCGCTGCATTAAAAATCTGTTCGACCTAAACGACACTTTAGAAGCAAAAAGGCGGACTCTTGAATATTTGAAACATGATTACGTAATGGCAACAAGTGGGCACTTAATTCCTTTTTCTTCAAATTCAAAACTTTTCAAGCAAGAAAAAAAAGTCAGCTTTAGAAAAACTCAGTTTTACAACTTTCAGTGCGACTTGTTTGTTTTGCAAGAACCCTGGAATTTTTTTCTTTAGAAGACGAGTTTTGAAATGGATTGAATTATGTCCCCTTTCAAAAAATTGACGATAAAGAAGAGCGCTTAGCGGGAGATGCTCTTACTCCAGGCTTCTAAAATTTTAAACAACGCTTCATTATCACTAGAAGAAGGTCTTATCAGCAAGTTTATTTCGCTCCAAATGGAAAGTCGTCTCTAAGTCAAATAATTTTCCGTCTTCTGAAAGTACTTTTTTGCTCATCAAGAAGCTCCCCGGCCACGTGTTTTCCAAAGATCTTGAGGCCTCTTTTCTGTATGATTAAGTTCCACTTCCTGGCTTCGAAAACGGCCTCAGCTGCTGGATAATGGCGATAATGGTCGGATTGTACACGAAAAAGACGACTTGTAGCGGCCTCATCAAAAAGCGATCCACGTTGCATCTGGGTATTTTGTGTTGGTAACGATACCTTATGCAAGTTGCATTATCTCGGGGATGATGCTGGCCCGGGCCGGGCTCAGCTGAAGACGTGTCAGACGATTGCGCCTAGTCTCACCTTTCCAAAGCCGCCCAGCTCAACTTGCTCTGCTTTTTTTCACGGATTTTATTGTTATTGTTGAGATGGGTTTTGAAGATTTCAACCAATGATTCGATGGTTATTTATAAAAAACTTATTCTTTCGAAAAAAAATCTATCAGTTTCGCATCATGAATCTTCAGTGAACGGGAAAATAAACCTTACCCTTCCCGGATTCCAAAATATACGATAGCCGCCCGTTTGTTCCATTTCGAAATTATGGCCACAAAAAATTTTCGCCCACTGTAGATAGTATTTTGGCTAAATACTCTTATCCTCAGTTATCTAGGCAGTGTTCCTGCGCGGAGCGACGTGGAGCGGCCCCGCTATCGCGATTTCTCCCAGCCTCGGCTCGGCGGCGCCATCTTTATCGCGCGCGCTCATGCTCCTTGCGCGCGTTGCTCACGAGCGCCAGCGCGAGCGGATTTCTGAACGCGGCGGAGAAATGGAATCATTATTTCAGTGTTGAACACGGATACTGAGAGGACAAGACGTAAATTCAGGTATTTTGATCGAACCCGACTTTTCGTACCGATTTTTCCCCGACAAAGAAGACCAGAGAGAGTATGCAGCTTTGAACCCGACCCTTCCCGAATCTCTAGAGACACCCTTAAATATTCAAAAAGAAAAGAAAAATAATGAATTATAAAATTTCATTTCTGAAATAATTTGAACCAAATCGAACCTTAAATCACCAAAAAAAAACCACCCACCCAAACCGTCTGATTTCGAACCTCTCTGGCTTCTCCGATAAACAAAAATCAACTCCAAAACAAAACCGAACCAGGAACCTTGTTTCTGAACCGAATCCTTGTCTCCTCCCTGATCCCGTGACAACGCTGAACCAGCCATTTAGGTAAAACCACACCTTTTTCCCAAACACAAAAACTCAAACTAACCCTTTCTTTTTTTCCTTATTTTTTTCTAACATTCGAGTAGATTGGTAATCAAAGGACCGGATAAACGATTATATTTTTCTCTCGATTTCAAATATTTCTATTCTTCTCTTAGACATCTTCATTCTCATTTTATTTTGATAATTTTGATCTTTATCATTTTTGATAAAATTAAGTTGTTTATCCTAAAAAGCAAAAGACCAAATATTCTGAAAGAAACAGTGGAAAACTTAAGCTCAGTTAAATATCAATTCTGATGATTATATTTACCCTTCACTCAAATTCCTACCTCCGAAGCTCAAAACCTTCCTCCGAACCCAAACTCGCACATCCCGACCAGAGATGTAAATCACCACAGCCACCCCACCACTGTAACCACCTAACCCGAACCTCCTTACCCGAACCCACGGATCTCAACTTCATGGTACCTTAGCTGAATCGACGCCCAACTTGAACCCCCGAAATTTTTTCGAAAAAACAGGCCCTAACTTTCCCCTTAAATTTTTTCTACCCTTTTCTCCCAATCCATCCGAACCTTCGCTTCCTCCATTTTCCCTCAAATTTTTTTTTTCAAGGACCCTTTGTCGATCCTCACCTACCTTCCCGTATCCACCCTTTACCCCGCTTCAAGACTGAAGAAACTGTTTGCCCTTATTTAAAATTTTATTTTACCCTTGACCTCGACCCTCACTTCGACCCCCTCCCAGAACATCAAGTCCCGAAACTCAACCTCAAATCACCTTCCTCTCATCTCCAAACTCCACCCATTCACTTCACGCACCTTTTCCCTATCCCCTCACGTTTCCCCTCTCCATAACCCTCCCCTTAATTTCCACCAAGATTAACCCACCTTGACCCCTTCTTAACCCATTTAAACCTCCCCGAACCCAACCCCCTACCAATGACCCTGCCTTTAACCCATTATCACCACAACCTAACTGTCCCTGATAGTATGTTTTATACAGTATCTCCCTTTCCCTTTGCACTTTCAATATAATCATCAAAAAAGCTTCATTCAAACTCTAGACATGAGTAATTTCTGTCTGAGCTCAATTTTCAACTGTAAAAAGCCACAACGCAGAACTTTGGAAATCCAAAAGATCGCAGAAATCGTCGCAAGACCTCAAATCTTCAAAACGAAAAATTATAACTGTATCCTTCCACAAAAAATTTCAAACCCTTTTGATAGTCATTCTTAAACGATAGTATAGGCTTTTAGAGAATCGATTTCATCGTATAACTCAAGCTTTAAAACTAGAATTTGAAACAGAACAACCCTTTTCGCGTGTGCCGAAAAAAGCCTTTAGGGCTTAGTAAGAGAGAATAAAAATGAACTCTCTTAACAACGGCATGGTTGTCGTCCCGATCCTAACCCCTTACGGAACCCAACTTGTACCGATGTCGGTGAACCAACTCCTTGGATCTGGAATGGGAAATCAAATGCCTTCTGCTGATCTCAACTCCTTGACTCAGACTTTTCAACAGCAGCAGGCCGCCAACCTCCGAAATATTCAAGGTAAATCAACTTCTAATTTTTTATACCTCTTGGCCAATCAGAAGTCGAAATCGATTATGCCAGCCAATCAAAAAATACCTATAAATAACTCTTTTGTTAAGCAATTCAATCACAACTTCGATCCTTCCAATCCAACCAAAACCCGATCGTGAGCTCCATTCTCCAGCAAGCTCAAGCCGCTCAGCTCAACGCCACCGCCCAAAAAGCTCAGTTCGGTCACGACTCGCACAAGATGGAAATGGACAAGATCACGGCGAAGCTGGACGCGACAAAGCTTCAAAAATCCAGCTCTTCGAAGAAAGACCTCGGCGCGATTGGCGATCTCCGACCAATGTACAGATCGACTTCTCGCGGCCAGAGCTCTGGATTCTCCTCTGGAAATACTTCGGAATCTGATTCTGGACATTCGAGAAACTCGATTTCTCCGATCGGGACGAAATTGCACATGAAGGGAAAAACGCAGTCGTATACTTCTACTTCGCAGTTTTCGTCGAACTCTTCTGGTTGGTCGGAAGGATGCTCTGGAGACGAAACTGGCTCCGGTAGGACCTATTCTATTCAAACACAAAATTCAAATTCGATTCTAGGAAAATTCAATTCATTCAAACTTCTCGAACAACGAAGCGGAAGCAAAGCTCTCTTTCTTCAAAAAATGGTTGAAGTTCTTGAATCTTACTTCTCCGACGAAGGACTAAAACGAAATCAATTCCTCGCCAAGCAAATTCAACTAAATCCCGAAGGAATTCCTCTCAAAAAAGTTGCAGCTATGCGACGAGTCAAGGTAGAATATTAAAAAACGCTACCGAAATAGTGAACTAAAAATCTACATTTTTCATGATTTTATTTTATTACTCTTCTTTTTAGGCGTTGACACGTGACTACATGACCGTCGCGTCTGCTATCCGAAAATCTTCCATGCTCGAGCTGTCACGTGACGGCCAACTGGTCAAGCGAACTGTTCAACCAGCTTCTCTCGAGCCCCCAAAGCCCATCCGAACCGTCCTTGCCATCAATCTCCACGAAAACCCGACCGTCGAAACGGTCACTAGCGCCTTTGCCAAGTACGGTGATTTGACTCAAGTGCGCGTTATCCGGCCAACTTCGGCGCTGCCCGCCTATTTGAAGGAGTTCACTATGTGGGTTCCTGATCTCGGCACCACCAACTGCGCTGTGATCGAGTTTGAGACGCAGGATGAGGCTCAAGCTGCTTGCCGAGAAATCAACATGGCAAACAGAGAAAACGGAAAGCTCAGAGTTGCTCTCCTCAAGGTTTGCGATTTCTAAAGAGTATCACAATTTCTAATAGATTTCTTATGCATCCAAGGGTATTTTTCGCCCCTAAGCTTCATTATTTCGGCTGACTACCCATACACTGATAAATCCCATCAGTTTCGTAATTTTTCTCTTAACCCATTTCCTTCCACTCCTTCACTTAATTCCCCGACAAAAAAACTTTACTCTCTACCATCAATCCCGACCCAAACCTGAACCGCCAATTCACCCCGACAAAATCCGATCCGACCAAAATCCCTCCCAAAATTCTTAATCAAACCCCGATCTTTGACACCTGTTTTTCTCGGACCATAACGTGGACCCGCACCAATTTATTCAATCCCGTTTCCCTACCTTACCAGAGCCCTTCCATACCAAAAACCACAACCTTTACTCAGACTCATAACTTCACCTTTCTTTCTTATGAAAGTCCCCCCCCCCCTCAATAATCCAATAAACACTACTTTAACACCCGTACCTATTATTCAATCCCCTTACCGTACCTTACCATAGCCCTTCCATACCCAAGACCTCAACCTTTACTCAAAGCCATCAATTCACCTTTCCCTTTCATGAGAGGCCCTTCCCTCATTTGGAATCTATTTAAAACTACCATTACTTCCTGAGAACACATCCCAATCACCATCCTCGACTCAGACCCCCGCCCGAACCTTATCCTTTCTCTTCCTTACCCGAATCCTACCTCATTTGAACCATCATTCCACCCCAGAACTTACCCTCGACCTGATCTCCTACCCTTCAATTTCGATTATCTGACCCCTTACAAACAGCCTCCTCCGTCAATCAAACCTCTCCCCAAAAAAGATACCATTTGAGTTCCGGGTATCTTCTCCCTAATCAGGATACTGACACTTTTTAGCCCGGCGCTCGAATCCGCCGCACTCTCTACCGCCAATACAAAGAAGACGACGGTAAAACTACCGAAACCAAAAAACTTCCCAAGTTCGAATTAAAAACTCTCTCCGACTCTGGACACGGCTCCGACGGATCCGCCGAAATCTCAACAGAAAACTCCGAAGACGAAGAAAAATGCTCTGCAAAGGTCAGAAACAACTTCGCTCCCGCATACGTAAGATGACCCCTTATTCTCCCATTTCAACTTTTTGAACCGAAAAAATGACGGTTTTTCTAGGTTGTTGGAACCCGACGAGCCTGGCTGAGCAAATCGCTTCAAAAAGACGCCGAAACTGTATAACAATTTTTAGGATTTTCACGAGCTCATTCAAATTTATTTATAGGTTATTATCAATTAAACAATTTTTCTATTCTATTTCCGTTTTCCCTTTTCCCAAAAAAGCTCTTTGTCCCGAATCCAGCGCCCGAACCTGGCTCCAGAATCAAACTTCCAATCAAAAAACACAGAACACCGCCTTCAACCAACTCCACCCACCCTCGCTCCGATCACTTTTTATAACTCGCGCCTAGGTCCTCCCCGAGAACAATTTGAGCAACGCGATCCGCCAACCACGTGGTCCAGTCGAGGGAAGCCGCGGCTTTGACGCCAAATTTTCCCGAAATCGCTCTCGAAACTTTTTCGCCTAAGATACTTTATTGCTTATTTTTCCCGTAATTTTTTAAAAAGAATAACTATCTTATCGCGTTAAATTTCGATCGAGCCAAGGTTCAAGCGCACAAGACAATTTTCCCGATCTTCATTCTCTTCCAGAAGGCGATTTGGAACTTTGACTTTGACTAGAAACCAACTAGAACGCAGCTTGGCTGTAAATACAAAACATCATCAAAAAACGACTTCTACTGCTGAAAAAATCCTGAAAAATGGCTCTTCGATGTAAAAAAATTCAACTTTCAACGACTTCAAATCTGAAAAAAAAACGCATCAACTCGACTTGCTTCAAAATCGAAAGAAACCAAAAACGAAGCATAAAAACTCACTCTCTTCCATGATTTCAAAAAACCGCGAATCAAAAATTACTCGATTCCCATTTCGCCTGTGCACAATTTTTTTCTCATCAACTGACAAATACTTTTTTTTCATAGGCCGGTTTTTCAAACGAATAATTCAACAAAATTTTCGAGGAAATTAAAAATTAAATTTTCAAAAGTAATTAATATTTTCTTGCTATATGCAAACCCTCGGATGTAAATAAAACATTTTTTTGATGAATAAACTCGTGTCTCTTTCTCTTTTGGAGACATTTTTAAAGCTTAAAAACTTTGTCGCTTTTCTTTCGCAAGATATGCAGATTTGACCCCGGCGTGACGAAAGATATAATTACTCCACTAATACCGCAATAAGTTATTGCCAATAACGATTTTACAACAGAGGGGCTTCAACTCAGAAAAAATAGCGATTTTATACAATGAATTACAAATTTTGGTTTTTCTCTTGTTTTTTCATTGCGAAAGGAGCTCTTCCAGATGAAGATAGAGTTGTGGTCAGAACGGGTTTTTCGAGAATTTCAAGAAGCGTTGCCAATTCTACAGCGGAGGATATTTTTCTTGAGATAACTGGTAAGCATAAACATCATAGAATTTATCTATGTTTTCCAAGGCGGTGAAAGTTTGGGCGAAAAGATGACTTTGAAAGCTCAGCTGAATATTTTCAACTACACGGCTCATTTGACCGACTGCGATATTTTCATCAATTCAAAAACTTATCGAATCCTCGAGTCTGAAACCGTTACTTCAACAGGACTTTTGCTCAATGTTCAAAAACTCAGTAGCTGGACTCTTGAATTGAAGAGATTTTCAACGTCTGCTTCGAAGATGGAAAAAATGGACTTTCAATGCGAAATTCGGCTGTCTTCTTGTCTTCCATCCGCTGATCCTCTTGGTTATTACTACACTGGACATCGCACAGGATTTTTTCTTCAAATTTGAGAAGCACCTTCTTTCGAGAAAACTCATTGAAGAAAACTGAAAGTCACCAACTCAGGTCGAACCTGCCAAAAATGGAGTTCCCAATGGCCCCATAGTCACTCTTACCGCAATCAAATTATTTCGCGCTTTGGCGAACGATTTCTCAATACAAATTACTGCCGCAATCCTGATAACTACAACGGCGGAGTCTGGTGCTACACCACAGATCCAAGCAAGAGATGGGAATTGTGTGAAATTCCAACTTGTGATTTTTGATTATCTTCTTTGGTTTTAACGAAATAAATCTTATGCAGCATGAGGCTTGTTTTATCAAAAAATCAAATACAGTAGTCAGCAGAAACTTGAAAAAGAACAGGAGCTTTAGTGTTTTCGTTGTCCATCTTTTTGATCGTCCAAGTTCTTGAATCGACGAATTCTTCAATTTTGATTCGATTTTGCTCGAAATCGAATCGGTTGATTGAATTTCCCGACACAACAAATACCGACTCTTCTATTCTGATCACGGACGAATATTTATCGAACTCAATGATACATTAATTTATCACATTCAAATCTTACTGTAATGGGCACGCCGATCTCTTTCCAGCCAGAGCCTGCTAGAAGAAAAACTCCGTTAAAGCGACCAGCGACCAATAAATTCCCACTTTCAAAACCGATCGCGAGAACTCTCTCGGCCAGTCTCGGATAGTCCGGCATGGAATACCAACCAGAGCGAGAGAGGTCGAGCTTTTCCACCCTGAGTTTGCTTTTACAAGCTTCGCAGTTATTGCCACTTCCTCGATAATTTTGAACCCAGACTAAGTCTCCTATTGCAGCAGCTTTGCCCTTGTAAAGAGCGAGTTTCCCACTGGCATGGCTGAATATTGAAGAAAACGTTTTCTCAGATCTACGGCCGTCGAAAATCTCACATTCTTTCGTCATTCTTGAGCCATCGCCTCCAGGAAAGCAGATCAGAGCTTTTGATCCATCGCTTATTGAAAGTGCGCTTGCAGTTGAATCAATTTCATGAACTAGCCTTGCTGATTGCTCGATCAACTCGCAGTTTATTAATTTCAGGATCTAGTGATAAATATTTCTTGATTGTTTCTTCAAGTTTTTTCCTACCCTTTGCTTATAAAAATCTCCTCCGAAGATAAAAAGCTCGCCTTCAATTGAAGCAAAAGGACCCCAATCGCCATGATTTTCAAAAGAATCAATTATGCCAACTCTTTTTTGAACGAGTCCATCTTCAGAAACAAGAAAAGAATTGTCAATAAGCTTTGAACTAGAGCCCAGAATCAATATGAACTAAATTTAAACTGTTAAAATAATTTTAGAAAACATAATCAAGAACCGGTTTAACACGCTCTGTGGTAGTTGAAGTTGTAGTCGCCGCATTTGTTCTTATTGTTGGTTGAGTAAGTCCTACTGTTCGAATATCAGCTCTTTCAGAATGAGAACCCGGTCTGTATTTAAAAACAAGACCAACAGCTAAACCAGCGACGAGAAAAATATTAATAATGATCAAAATTTTACGCGTTTTACTGATTTTCAAGCCCGTCTCTGTCATTTTTGAGGCTGAACTTTCAAAGAGGAGTCATAAAATAAGGGAACTCGTAAAAATACAATTGTTGAACCGGCATTTCGTAAGAGCTAATTTAAGTAAATAATTTATTGGTGAATATCAATGAATTTGTAATTGCGGAAAAAGAAGTTGGCAATCATACTGATCAGAAAACGGCGGAGTCAAATTGGAAGTTCAAAATCTGTGAGTACATAATGTGAAATCAAAAGCATTCAAGGTGCAGTCAAAAAGAATTGTTGAAATGAGAGAAAAACAGAGTCTTGAAGTCTTCTGAAATTCTCAAAGAACGTATCCTTGAGCAATCATCGCATCGGCCACAATTTTGAAGCCAGCGCAGTTGGCGCCGAGCTAGAATTTCGATGAGAAAATGAGCAAAAAAGGACGATTGTACCTGATAGTCGCCTTCATGACCGAGTTCTTTGGCGGTTTCAGAACACGCTTTCCAGATGCTAGCCATGATTCCTTTGAGTTTGTTGTCGACCTCGTCTCTTGTCCAGAAATATCGAGCAGAGTTCTGAGCCATTTCAAGGCCGGAAACTGCCACTCCTCCAGCATTGGCGGCCTAGAAAAGACCATGATTTGAGTTTGACGAAAAGAACTGACCTTTGCTGGGAAGAAAACAGCCTTGTTTCTTTTGAAGACTTCGATAGCTTCTGGAGTAGAAGGCATGTTCGCGCCTTCAAAGACGTATTTGACTCCAGCGGCGATGAGACTTTCCGCGTCTTCCTTGCTGATTTCGTTTTGAGTGGCGCAAGGAAGGGCGACATCGGCAGCTCCGACGCCCCAAGGTCGAGTTCCTTTCAAAAATTGGACGGTTTCGGATTTGTAGTCTGCCACTCGGCCTCGTTTATTGTTCTGAAAAATGAGTTTTAGCTGAACGATACTTTTAAAATGTAAACGAACCTTGATATCAAGAACTTGTTGAATCTGCTCATCCGAGAACCCATTTGGCTCATAGATCGTTCCATTCGAGTCCGAGAACGTCAAAACTTGAGCTCCGAACTCTTTGCATTTGATGGCAGCGTATTGGGCGACGTTTCCAGAGCCAGAAATAAGAACCTTTTTTCCTTCGAGAGAAACGCCAAATTCATCGACGCAGTTTTTCAAGGCATAAACGCAGCCAAAACCGGTCGCTTCTGGTCGAATCAGCGAACCGCCCCAGCCGTGGCCTTTTCCGGTCAGAACGCCGGAGTGATCACCTGATTTTTGAAATGAAAAAAAAAGACGGAAAGGGTTTCTTACCTTGCATTCTTTTGTACTGTCCATACATGTATCCAATTTCCCGGCCGCCGACTCCGATGTCTCCTGCAGGGACGTCAACATCTGGGCCAATGTATCGCGAAAGTTCGGTCATAAACGACTGTGTAAATCGCATCACTTCGGCGTCCGATTTTCCCTTGGGGTCAAAGTCGGAGCCTCCCTTTCCGCCGCCCATGGGGAGCGTAGTTAGGGCGTTTTTGAAGATTTGCTCGAAACCGAGGAATTTGATGATGGACAAATTGACGGAGGGGTGGAAGCGAAGGCCGCCCTTGTAAGGTCCTAAAATTGGGATAAGCCTTGTTGTTTTCGATAATTGGAAAAATGGGCTTACCGATGGCTTGGTTGAATTGGACTCGGAAACCTCGGTTCACCTGCATTTTGTTGTTGTCGTCCAGCCAAGGCACGCGGAATTGGATGACCCGCTCGGGCTCGCAGATTGCTTCCAAAACCTAATGGAGAAATGGTCTTATTCTGACTGTTTTTGGAGCATTTCAGATTCACAAGAAATGAAAAATGAGGGTTTTTAGTTTAGCAGAACCTGTATTTTAGCTGTTTTTTATAAATTTATGGTCAAAATCGTCATATTTACGGTATTTTACCTTGACATAATGCGGGTACTTGTCAAAAAGCGGCCCCAAAGAGTCGAAGACTTCCTCAACTGCTTGAAGAAACTCGGTTTGGTTGGGATCTCTAGCCTTAACTTTCTCAAATGCGGCGGCCACTTCTGCTCTCATTTTTAATTTTTTTGTCTGAAAAGATGAAAAATGCGTTTTGATGCTTTGAAAAAGCGGCGATCGAATCCGCCACCGGCAATGTTGAAAAAGTGGGAGTGGTGAGTTGAAAGCAACAAGGAGATAAACTCGCTAGTAATTAGCTATTCGAGCGGTTTTTAAACACTTCAAAAGGGGAATGAAATAAACAAGTTACGTAACAATCTTCGCAATAAAATTAATAATCAGCAGCTTTGGGACAATTAAAACGAGTTGATAAAGGTTCAAAATGTCTGATGAAGGGTGCAAAAGGGTTGAATGTAGCTCTAGGCAAAGGCAACTCTAGAACAGTTATGAAAAGAGGTTATAACTTGGCAAAAGATTCATTTTTTCATTGGAAAATGAAGCCTCTTGATTTCTCAAAAAGATACAGTATCTTTCTCTTTATAACAAGTTTTTTTCACAAGCTTCGAATTTGAATGTTGACCTTTTATGCGCGTCAAAAAGGTGCTGGAAAGTTCGATAGCGCTCTTGAACTTACTCCTTTGTTCTTTCTTCTCTGGGCAGACGGAGAAAAAGGGTTCTCTCTGAATAAAAACTGCGGAAATAGAAAGAAAAACGTCTCTATTAGAAGTCTTTTGTTATTATTTTTTTGTTTGATAGGAAATGAGCTATATCATCGGCCTCATCTCAAATGTCAATTTTTTAGTAAAAAAGAAAAGTATTTGCCCTCGATTATTATACGAGACAATTGATGGATTATGATCGAGCTTTCTTTTATTTCCTGTCTAAAGAATGTAATGGCTATCAAATTTACTGAATAAACTCTTCAGAAAACTCACTAAAACAGGGGTGGCCTAAACTTTGATCGTTGTCATGTGTGATTCTTTGAGAAAGTGATTCTTCCTGTTTGTAAAAGGTAGTACGTGGTAACTCGTCGGGGGTTGGCCCGGCGAGTGGAAGGTAAAACAAACGCAAACGGATTAAATTTGTCGAAACGTCGTAGAAGGACTAAACTTGAGCCAGCTTTTAAATTACTTCCGTGAATTTTGTTTAATAGCAAGTGACAAATTTGGAGCTTTTTATATATTTAAGCAAGAAAGTGACATGGAGTCAGAAATTCTTTTCCGGAGTTAGCAGCCCATCTTGTCGTTGTAGAAGTTTCGGACTTTTCGAGCTGCTCGGATGACCTGTCGGTGGACTTTGCCTCGTCCTTCGCAAGCGTTGTTTCGCGCCCAGCTGTTGAGAGCGGCGTTGACTTGGCCATTGAGCTTGCAGAAGTCGCTCTCATCGAAGACTTGCACGTCGTCGGCGGAGTCTTCGGAGCCGAAGCCGTTGTCTTCGTAGCAGTTTTCGCCGTTGTCAGCGTCGACAACCTTGTTAAAGACTTTGTAGAATCGGTTGACGTATCGCTCAGTCCAAGATGCGTCTTCTGGGAGGGATGCGGCGATTCTCTGAATTCCCAATTTTACCAATTTTATTCAATGAATATTTTGTCACTTACGCCAAAGTGGTATTCGATGATGTCAAGTCGGTCAGCTTCAACGAGCTCGAATTCAAAGCCGGAAAAGCGGAAGAGATGATCAGAGGTGAAACTGACAGTTGCTTGACCTCCTAGGACAAATAGATCTTCAAATCCGTCGTCCTTAACGTTGACGAGATCAGGAGTCATTTTGCCGCCCTCTTTTATGCCTTTTTGTTTCTCTCGTCGTTGATCGGAGTATTCGCCACAGAAGTTTCTCTCTTGACCGTTGGCAACGACCTTGACGTAATCATATACACAACCTTGAGCATACTCAACGTCGAATCGGTTTGCTTTAATTAAAAAGCCGGAAACCCTCGGATGTCGATGGTCCAGCTGCAATAAGCTCTGTTGGGATAGTAGCCATATAAATAGTCTGGCGACGAAAATGTTTGAAACTCAGTGATGCGGCCGCCGCAGTCGGTAAAAATCGGTTCACCGTTAGTAGTGAATTCGTTTGTGGAATAGGATGGAGTTGTCCCGGTAGAGTAAATTCCAGTGACAGTAGTGGAGTCATAATTATCAGTGGTGTAATAGGAAGCAGATGCGCCGGCAATCAAGGAAAACAGCTGAAATGTATATTTATTTATTTTCTCTTGTCTCTGTGAATAAACCTTCATTCTCTAGCTTCTTTTTCAGATATTCCGATAAATTTTGGATTGCTTCATGCGTTTTTGTACTTTCTGGCTTCGGCCATTGCTCCTAGGTGGCGGTGCACAAACACCAAGGGGTTAAGCGTTAGAGACGGATCGGCAAGTGAAAGTTGAAATTAATGACTGGTTGTCAAGATAACGATGTCGAATTTGATTGATCGAGGATTCTGACCCGAAAAACACTTTTTGTGGATTCAATAATGTAATTTCTAAGACAAAACCAAAAACAACGACTACTACGACGACGAAAACTACGACAACATCGACAGTCAGAACAACGACTACAACTTGTAGTCTTGTTGTAGTCTACAAGGCATGTACCGTATGTAATAAATTCTGCCACCCTAGCGCAGGATTGAGGTATAAATAAACTATTTTCGTGAATTTGCTTCAATAGTGACAAGTTTGGAGAATATTATTTATTTTAACGAGAAAGTGATATGGAGTCAGAAATTCTTTTCCGGAGTTAGCAGCCCATCTTGTCGTTGTAGAAGTTTCGGACCTTTCGAGCGGCTCGGATGACCTGTCGGTGGACCTTGCCTCGTCCTTCGCAAGCGTTGTTTCGCGCCCAGCTGTTGAGAGCGGCGTTGACTTGGCCGTTGAGCTTGCAGAAGTCGCTCTCATCAAAGACCTGGACGTCGTCGGCGGAGTCATCAGAGCCGAAGCCATTTTCTTCGTAGCAGTTTTCGCCGTTGTCAGCGTCGACAACCTTGTTGAAGACTTTGTAGAATCGGTTGACGTATCGTTCAGTCCAAGATGCGCCTTCTGGGAGGGATGCGGCGATTCTCTGAAATCCCAGTTTTACCAATCATATTTACTGATTAGTATTTCGTTACTTACGCCAAAGTGGTATTTGATGATGTCAAGTCGATCAGCTTCAACAAGCTCCAATTCGAAACTACCTCTTGAAATGATGTGATCCGAGGAGAAACTGACTGTGGCTTGGCCTCCTAGGACAAAAATATCCTCGAATCCGTCGTTCGAGGCATTGACGAGGTCAGGAGTCATTTTGCCGCCCTCTTTGACCTTCCTGCCGGCTTCGCGTCTTCGTCGCCTGAAAAGCTTAGGGCCGCAGAAGTTCCTCTCTTCTCCGTTGGCGACTACCTTCACGTAGTCAAACACGCAGTTGGTAGCATACTCAACAACGAATCGATTGGCCTTGATGAAGAAACCGGGAACTCCTCGGATATCGATGGTCCAGGTGCAATGAGCTCTGTTGGGATAGGTGCCATCACCGGCGTCTGGAGACGAAAATTTTTGAAGCTCAGTGATGCGGCCGCCGCAATCGGTTGCAATCGGTTCACCGTTTGTAGTGTGTGTTATGTACGTAGTTGAAGTGATAGGGAGTTCTGTACTGGGGATATAGGACTCAGTGGTGTAGTAAGAAGCAGTTGCGCCGGCGATCAAGGAAAAGAGCTAAAATAAATTTTTATAATTACTCGTGTCTCTGTGAATAAAACCTTCATTCTCTAGCTATTTTCAGATATTCTGATAAATTCTGAGCTGCTTCGCGCGGTTTTGTAGTTTCTCACTTCGGCTATCGCTACTAGGTGGCGGTGCACTTACACCAAGAGGTTAGACGTTAGAGACGCACTGAGCCAGTTTTGCAGACTCGCCTATGTTGTCACTAAACAGGCGGCGTTTAATTTTTTGAGGAAATCTCTAGTATGGATCGTAACAGAAAGGTTTCGCTATGCAAGGATTTAAACAGAAATCTGCCGCATAGCATGAAACGAAAAAATTGGATAGTTCGATTTTTTAAAGGCAATTCTAAGGGTGTCAAAAGCCTACCGGCCTAAAATACTCACCTTTAAATGTAGATCTCGGGCCTATCTTTCATTTTGACGGTGTATTTAAGGAGGTAGTCCCTGCTTTTTGCGATCTCGGCACTTTTTGAACGGCGCTCCCACAAATTTGCGCTGGGGTTGAGGGATAAAAACTCTAGGAATAGAAAGGTCGAACCCTAATGAAAGTTTGAATTCACGGAAAAAAATTTTATTCGCCCGCTTAAGGAGTTAGAGGGCGATAATCGAACCTAGCCCGGGCGAAATCGCCATTTTGGCCTATTTTTAAACGCGCTGAAAATCAAGAGGATCTTTCAAAAATTTAAACTAATTGAATTTTTTGAAAGTTTATACGTTTGTCTAGGTTTGAATTAAGGGAAATTAAAAAAGTCCAAAAAGTCATAATGTAATGCCATCAATCAAAGGTTGGGTCTCAAAATCTTTAAAAAATAAGTTTTTTAAGGATGATTTATACTAAATAAGCTTAATAATAGACATTTTATTTATTATTTTTATTATCTAGAGGTCATTTAAAATCGAAATAAAGCTATATCTATGGATAAAATTGACAAAAAAATTCGAGTTTTTGAAATTTTTCATCAAAATCTCACTTTTCGAGTGTGATTTTGGGGTTTTTCCTCTTACATTTGGAAAAAATGATCCACACAAAGTTTTTAGCTCTTCTAACGAGCTTTCAGAATCTGCTTAGAAAATTTGAAAATTCCGATTTTTTCAAAAGCGAGGACTACCCCCTTAATTGCCTTTGAAAAATCGAACTATCCAATTTTTTATTCCATGCTTAGCGGCAGATTTCTGTTTGGATCCTTGCATAGCGAAACCTTTCTGTTACGATCCATACTAGAGATACTTGTGTCCAAAATAAGATAATGTCCTAAGTACATTTGATTGAGTTTTCAAAAATTTTGAAATCGTTTTTTTCTTTTTTTTTATTCGGATTATAAGACAGATCAGCATATTCTTTTCCGGAGTTAGCAGCCCATCTTGTCGTTGTAGAAGTTTCTGACCTTTCGAGCGGCTCGGATGACCTGTCGGTGGACTTTGCCTCGTCCTTCGCAAGCGTTGTTTCGCGCCCAGCTGTTGAGAGCGGCGTTGACCTGGCCGTTGAGCTTGCAGAAGTCGCTTTCATCGAAGACTTGCACGTCGTCGGCGGAGTCTTCGGAGCCGAAGCCGTTGTCTTCGTAGCAGTTTTCGCCGTTGTCAGCGTCGACAACCTTGTTAAAGACTTTGTAGAATCGGTTGACGTATCGCTCAGTCCAGGAAGCGTCTTCTGGAAGAGATGCGGCGATTCTCTGAAATCCCAATTTTACCAATTTTATTCACCTAATTGGTTACTTACGCCAAAGTGGTATTCGATGATGTCAAGTCGGTCAGCTTCAACAAGCTCGAGTTCGAAACTACCTCCAGAATAGGAGTGGTCCGAGGAGAAACTGACTGTTGCTTGGCCTCCTAGGACAAAGATGTCCTCGAATCCGTCGTTTGAAACATTGACGAGATCCTCAGTCAGTTTGTTGCCCTTTTTTGCCTTCTTGCCGGCATCGCGTCTTCGTCGGTGGTCGTTGAAGCCGCAGAAATTCCTCTCTTCCCCGTTTGCAATGACCTTCACGAAGTCAAAAGCGCAGTAGTCATCCCACTCAACCTCAAATTGATTGGCTTTGATGAAGAAAGCGGGAACTCCTCGGATATCGATGGTCCAGGTGCAATGAGCTCTGTTGGGATAGGTGCCATCGCCGGCGTCTGGAGACGAAAATGTTTGAAGCTCAGTGATTCGCCCGCCACAATCGGTTACAATCGGTTCACCGTTTGTAGTGGCTGTGTTGACCCAAGTAGTAGGGGTGGTGAATTCCGTAGTGGGGTCATAGGACTCAGTGGTGTAGTAGGAAGCAGATGCGCCGGCAATCAAGGAAAAGAGCTAAAATAAATTTTAATATATTTCCCCGTGTCTCTATGAATAAAAAATAACCTTCATTCTCTAGCTTTTTTCAGATATTCTGATAAATTCTGAGTTGCTTCGCGCGGTTTTGTACTTTCTAAGATTGCCATCGCTCCTAGGTGGCGGTGCATTTCAACCAAGAGGTTAGACGTTAGAGACGAATTGAGATTGCCTAGGGCGAAGAAATTACTTGCAATATTTGATTTCTTTGTCATATTCTTATAGAATGGAAATAAAAGTCACGAGTTTTTTCAAACATCCGCATCAGAAAAAGGAAGCAGTTTGGACTCTTGGGAGCACACCGGACCGAAGTTCTGCCCTTGTTATTTGTCCATCGTCAGCTAATACTCCAGTGAATGCCTGTAATGGAGTATCAAACAGCTTTAGCTTAGCTGAACTAAGCTTTTTTGAGTCATTCATAGGTAAGGGACTTAACGAGCTTGCAGGTAACTGCCAATTTCAGAAAGAAAATTTGTATTCGCCTCAGAGCCGGAGCGAGAGCAAGTGAAAGTCGAAATTAATGACTGGTTGTCAAGATACCGATGTCGAATTTGATTGATCGAGGATGGAATGGTATTCTGACCCAAAAACAGTTTTCGTGGATTGAATCCACTGGATTCAATAATTTAATTTCTAAGACAAAACCAACAACAACGACTACTACGACGACGACTACTATCGTGACAAGTTTGAAGTTCAAGATGAAAATAAACAGCGTAATTTTATCTAACTGGTATTTATTTTTCAAAGCAGTGCAAAGAATAATTAACCAGCGAGTCGACATCAATCTCGTGATAGATCTGAAAACGTAAGTCACGTGCTACGGAACAGTTACAGTCACCTGATTGTAAGCTTCGATATTTGAGTAGTTTTTAGCCGGCCGAGCTACTGCAATGTGCAGTTTATTGTCTGAAAATGAAGTCGTGATGAAAAATATTAAAAAAGTCACCTTTTGAACTGTAAATAATAGACTGCAAAAGCCCCGTTTGGACTCTAGGGAGCACGTCGGAGCGTAATTCTGCCCTTGTTATTTGTCCATCGTCGGCTAATACCGCACTCAATGCCTGTAATGGAGTATCGAACAGCTTGAGCTAAGCCGAACTGAGCTTTTTGGAGATTCACAAATAATCAGTTGATACTTAATACTCCGGCTTGAAGAGGGCATCATTGTATTTCGGGCATTCCCAATCCACCCCCAAATAAACTGTGTTCTCGATGACTCCCGGATCAGTTGGGTTTTCGTGGAATTCTTCCAACACTTCATCACTTCAAATTCAACATACTAATCTACTGAGACAGGGTTAAAGAGAACCTGTAGATAAGCGTCGTTATTGTATGATTAGCTCCCTGTTTCGTGTCTGCCACCCCGACAAACGCGTCCAAAGTCCGCTCTTTGCTCTTCATAAACTCAAAAACTTCTTCATAACTTGCAGAAATCTCCAAGGCCTCTCGGATCAGCATCGGAAAAGGTGTTCCTTCGGGTTGTTTGGCTTCTCCAGAGGGGTGAAATATAGATTGGTCTGGAAGTTGAACAATCGTTGAGGAAATAAGAATGCCATCTTCGTTGATTCCAAAGGACATACCAAGCTTTCCCGCCCAGGAAACACTTTGATTCTTTCATTTTGTGACAAAAATCTTAGCTAACCTGAGAATGGACTTTTTATTGCGACTGTGGTAGACATTTATCTGCGGAAATTCCCTAAGGACTTCAATTTTAAGAGTCGATTTCAAGCTCTTTTTACCTCAACCAGGGGTCTAAATTCGCAGTGCGAATTCGCTTTATTGTGAAGCGATGCGAAGCGAAGCGAATTCGCTTTCGCTTCGCTTCGCACTGGAGAGCAGAATTCGCTTCGCTTTCGCTTCGCAAAAATTCCCAAATTTTCGCATAGATTTTCGCACATCAAGCGACTTTGCTATTCGGAAGATTCTTTATCAAAGAGTTGGAGAGGGGCATTATTGTCAATAATTTATTGATGCTGTTATAAATTCAAGTTTTCTCAGTCTTCTGAAGACGAGTCTAATGATGGGTCTGACTCTCAATAAATCCAAGGATTGACTGGTTATCAAGCTGATCCTACCCCGGAATACACGTTGTCACCAGCCTTTTGCTAGTATGCTTGTAAGTATGCTAGAATATTTTTGAATGATCAGAATGATCTTTATGAACAGGGCTTATCTAGAATCGAAGATGATCTCCTCTCCTATCGAGCAAGGGTGACCATTCGGGCAAGAAATCGTCGATTGGCCATCCGAATGCCCGGCCGAAATCAAGGGCCAAGAGTCGAGCCGTCCGAATACCCGGTCGAGCTGGTGATGGGATTTTCAATAGATAAGGGTTTTGCCCGAAAATTGTCCGTTTTCCCCGACTTCCCGATGCTCGAACGATCACCTCCGCTATCGAGTTTGTTACTAACTTGAAATTATCAACAGTTAGACCCACCATTCGGCTTATATTGACGAGCTGAAAAAGGTACAATAACAGATTTTTTGGGTGTAGGGCGCCCAGGTTCACAAAATTTTTAAAAGTACGAAATCAGGGGTTTGTATGCGCTCCGCGCCTGATTTTATAGAGAAACTCATTTTTGACGTTATTAACTTTCTCTACAACCGCGCCTTCAGTCAATATGAGTCACTTTTTTGACCGAAAATTGTGAACCGGGTTCACAAAATTGTGAACCAACCGATTGTGAAGTTCACCCAGGTTACCTGGGCGCCCGCCACCCGATTTTTTTGTTATTTTCTGCTCCAAAAATAGGTTTTTGAAATCATCTTTCAATCCGAGCATCCGAGAATGCGGTTCAATTCAAGCGAAAAAATTTTCGCTTTTTTTCGCAATTTTCAATGATATTTCGCTTCGCTTTCGCTTCGCACATGGGCGAAGAATTCGCTTCGCTTTCGCTTCGCAAAAAATTTGAAAAAATTGTTCGCTTTCGCTTCGCTTTCGCACTAGGATTTCGGCTGATATTTAGACCCCTGCCTCAACGGATTCTCAAAATCGCCATCAAGAGTCCTCGCAATCAGCAAATCGTTCCCTTCATTTCCAAGTTTATCTCCCCAGATTCCTCAAATCCAACATCATTAATGTCCATTCAAATGGAAGATTATGCTCACCGATGATGCTTCCGTGAGATTCACTTCGCTCAGTAAGCAAGTTCATCCAGAGGATTTTCGCTCTTAGCTCCGGCTTTTCCAATCCCGGCTGATGGAGGGTATGCATCAGGACTCCGTCGCTAATGCCGTCAAGTTCAAGCTTTATGTCCTCACTGAATCGATGTTGCTTTCTCTTTATACTGTCATTACCTGATATAATCCCATGTTTGATCCCGAAGCTCTTCGAAGTCTCGATCGAGTTTTTGCTTCGCGCATTCGTGAAGAAATGTTTCCGGGAGCCAAATAAATTCATCAAGACACTCTTCTTTGTACCAATTCATCATATATTCCTCAGTCTTTGCCAATAAAACCAGAATTTCCGAACCCATCAAGACTCCCCGAGCAAAGCCCATTTCAAAAGGAGATCCCCAAAGATGAAGAACTGGAATTGAAGCGACATCCGTTTCGATTGTATGTCTTTCGCCTTTCACGTGACCTATCTGAGCTTTTCACTTGTTACAGTTGGGCTAACTGTAGATAAGCTACTGCCTTGACAAGCTGTTTCCATCTTCGGAGCCGAATCCCAAGGGACCTTGAATCGAGATTGAAATCAACGAGGACTTACTCAAATATCGGGATGAAACTCGATCTCCTTCCTTTATGTTTGGTATGTACTGTAATTCTGGCCCAGTACTGCAATGCTCAGCGGGTCCAGTCGCCCACCAGTAATGCAGCAAGTTGTGTTTTGCCTCTAAAAAGCTCAAAAATCAACGATCCCGACTTTCCCAATTTTTTACCATCTGATAAAATTCTCCCTGCGATAGTTGTCCCCACAAGAATTGACAACAAAAACGATTTTTTAACTTTTCTCATGTTCTCTGATGCTCTGATGCTACATTTGACCCGACCGCTTCGATATTTTCCAGTAGATAAATAAGCGATAACATTTACTGCGATAAATATTGGTTCTTTATCGACTTTTTTTTTCCCGAGCAGCCAGAATTTTTTCTTTTATTGGCAATAAATTATTGCCGAATTTTTATTGCAGAAAATCGAACTGGAAAGTGAAGAATAAACGTCCACGTCATTTTTCTTCTTCAAGGAATTCATGATCTAAAATGAACTTTGGTAAAAAGAAGGATGACTTGTTGAATGAGAACCTCATAAACGGGTCACTTCGGAGGGCGAAGTTGTTGGCCATTCGTTGACAGTATTTTGCGTGCTTGTTCATATTCCTGCCACACTTTTGATAGGTTATCGAAGTTTATATACAGTCCAGTCGTCAAACTGCACATTAACCCTTTCCAATAAACCGGCAATGCCACGTGATCCAAACCGCATTCGCCCCTTTCTCATGTCTGAAAAATCATCGTAGAGCCTTTTCATGGTTTTTCTTGGGTTCATTTTTGTTTCATTAAATTACGCAAGAAACGGTATTTACAAAGTAATTCAGTATTCATTCGAAAAACCAACGGGCCCATCTTGACCTTCAGCAGCGTCGACTTCGACCAACATGGCGGCACTGATCTTGGTTTTGAAACAAAGTGACCAAAATTGATAGTTCTAGGAAAAAAGATCCAGGTCGAGAGGAGTTCGAACTCCGATCAGGCAAAAATTTCACCTTGAGTCAATCAAATAAACCATTAAACTTACGTCAAGAGACGAATAACTGTAAATTGGACAAATATCCAGCCCACAAAAATTCTCGAAGCCTTATCATTTTTAGGAGTATAAAATCTGTCTGTTTCAGTCTGTTCCTGATGAATAAATATAAATTGCTCAATTTCATTTTATTTTTTTTTTCTTTTCTCGATTATTTTTCGTTTTTTATTCTGTTGACTCTGGTAACTGAGCGCTTTTATATGTTTTGGTGGATATATATTTTAATAAGATGTTGAATACTTGCATAGGGAAACTAACTCGCTGGGGAACTGGGCCATTTGGCAATGATCCTTTTACGTCAATTTCCAAAACGCTTGCGAAAATACGGCTTATTGGAAAATGGTTTTTGAGGATGAGCCGGTTTCAGACTAGAAGTTCTGTCTAACTGAAAATTTTCTCATCTAAGAAATTTTTTTTTCAGTTCCAAAAGAGCAAAAGTAATCCGTCAGATTAGGATTTTCAACTCGACTTGAATGCCAGACCGATTTCAAAAAAGCTCCTTAAAGGTAAGTAAATTACTTATTTTTTCGCCGCGGAGTCTCAAATCTGTTACGAGAAGGTATTAACAAGCGGTGTCAGTTGATTCGATTCACTTCAGGAGTCGAATTCTAGTTTCGAATGAAATCGAGAATCAAGGAGGAGATTCAGCCCGTCGATGAGGCAAAACCGCTCAAGATTAAAAACGCGAAAGGTCGGAAAAAGAAAAAAACTCAAGTTGACGAAGAGATGATTCGTATTGAAAACTTGGCTTTTGATAAAGAAATGGACGACAATTTCAAACAATTCAGCGGAATGAAAATTCAGGTATTTTGATCTTAATAATTCTTATCCTACCTCTTCTTAAAATTGACGGCTAAAAACGTGATAGATATTTTTGAATAAATAAAAATAAGTGTTTGGACTGCGAATGCTTCGGAACTCTGCGAAAAGTTGGCGACAAAGTCTATCTTCTCACCGAAGAAGTTCTCTCTACCCGCAGCATTCATACGCAAAAGGCGGATTTGCAAAAAGATAAAACATGGAAGGAAAAAGTGAGCCTGGCTGAGCACGGATTCGCCACCGACAAGCAGCAATACAGCTACCTCGGACTGGGATCGCTTTTCTGGATAACCATCATGCTTATAAGTTTTAAACTTATTCATCTGTTTTATTCATAAAACTCCTTTCAGCGAATTGGCACTCTCTCCAAAGTTCAAAGGCAGTAACGACTTTCTTGACTTCAACCTGCAGCCGAAACTACAAAGAGTGCGTCAAAATTGCTGAAATGGATATTTGCGGCCATTTGATGAAGCAATGCTACGAGACTGAAGAGTTCATCCTCCCTGAACCGGTTTCTAAAATCGAGCATGTCAAAGCTGCGCCCCTCGAATTCTCCGAGGAAGAAAACGAAGTGAATCTGCGCCGATGCCAAAAGAAGCAGTTTTACGACCAGAATATCTGCCGCCATCTCTGCTCGACAACACTTGTACTGAAATCAACAAGGACTAACCCGATTTCTCCTTGTGAATCGATGTGTTTTGAACTGACTAAATCTTCTGAGTCAGCAGGACAAGTCTGCCCAACTCAAAAATACTGTCGGAATGGCTGCCCTTGCCCATTTTACGAGTGCGAAAAATTCGATTCGCGGCAGAAATTCATTCCCGTCTTCGATTTGAAATCACAAATGAACACTCAATCAAATGAATACCTTGACCCCATAACTGAGCGTTGGGCAGACCGCGTTAATGTTGGTCTCGAATTTCGAAAATTCCAATTTTCCGATTTCAACGGGAATGACAGAAAGATCAAGATATCAGATTCTTTCATACCTTATGAACGTTTTTTTTTTATTTCCAAGCATTTCTCTTTCAAAACGAAATAAACAAAAACGGTAAAAGTCTACTGGTGCCACTTTTCTCAATGGCGAACATTATTTGGTCGATGCGATTGGCAATCTTATGAAAGTCAAGGAAAACGGAGATTCCCCCATTTTTATTGACAATCGACGTAATGGAATGTAAGAATGAATAATTTTTTGAATTTATCTTGCAAAATTCAGAGGATTTTTCGTGTTTCACTTTGGCTCCTCTATTGGAACTCATCATATCGAGATTCGTTTTGAAGAGAAGGGGACGAAGGTTTTCCCAGTTGTTGTCATCTGAAAAAGGTCAAATAGATTGGAATTAAATTTAACCTACCTTTTCTGACCGATGAAAAGTTCTCCTACTGGAAAACAGGACAAATGCTACTACTACGCTCCAGAATACAACTTGGAACGTTTCGAAGAGGCACAAGGTTATATTGCCAGTAATCATTTCAATGCCAAAGTGTCGTCGACAAGTTTCAAGGGAGTATTCTATCTTATGAGCGTTAGGATCAGAGTTCCTTATTCACCTCACCCAATATTCGCCTAAGTGAAGGTAGGTGAAGATGCAAATTTTTTACTTCACCTTACTTCACCTTATTTTTTCGAAAATCGGCTTTCACCTAAGTTCACCCAAAGGTGAGGTTTAGGTGACAAGTTTTCACCTCACCCTTGGGTTAATGTGAAAGGGTGACTTTGGAACTCTGGTTAGGATGGGCGATTCTTACATCAAACTCTCAACGACTTTAGCTCTGAATAGGATTCGAAAAAACGAAGAACTCGACAAAGGGTGGAGGAAAAATGAGATTCAGCTTCCGGCAGAACTCAGAGACCTTAATCCTGTTCACGTCGTCCCTTTGATAGGAGTTGAAAATATTTTACCAAGATAATTTTGATTGCCAGACATAATAAGCATTATTTTTTATCAGACATTATCTAAAACTTAATAAAGACGGATCTAGGAAAACTGCTCCTTATTCTGGTGACGAGGAGTGTTGTTCTTTCAAATACATTGTACTCGTTGTTGTTGGAGGCGGAGGGGAAATTTTTCACTCTTGGCAGCGAATGGATTGGCTCTCTCGTCAAATATGAAGAAAAGTCAGTTTGTTTATCGAAATTATTTGCTACCAATGATCCATCTTACACTGATCAAGGCGGGGTGATTAACGATGAATGCGAGTACTTTGGAAATGGAATTATCAATGACGAGAGGTTTTTTCTACAAAGTTATGTGTTTGACGCTTTATTTGAGATCGAATTCGACTTCGGAAAGGCTTAACAAGACCATAAATGCACTTATACGCCCGATAAGGCCCGCTTCTTACGGTACGTAAAGCAGTCTTGCTAATCTACTAAGAAAAAATCGAGATCGAGTTCGTGCAACAAAAAGCTCAGCAGAAAATACACGTGACGAGTAATCCGTTTTTCGCCTTCCACGACGACGTTTTTCCTGGTTTTTCAAAAAATGCTGCTCCCCAGCCACGATTTCCTCGGCCAAGCTTTTATCATAAAACAATAGTTCCCGATAATTTCTTTACTTCGCTTGAAGAACTAGCGCATATTTCAACTGTTGAAATGGAACTCAATGGAAAAGAGAAATTTCAACTCGAAATCGAAGTTGGCACTCGCTTTTTTTTGAAAGACACAAAATTTCTTGAATGCAATTTTTTTGACGAAAACACTCTTTTGCGAGTTGGACTTTCGAAAAATGGCTCGTTTTGGATTGAATCCGACTTTTTTGACAAGTTTTTTGTTCAAAGATCAAAGAAGTCACTTGATTTTGTGTTTTATTTTCGTTCAAAATCGTTTTTTGTTGAACTTTTTCAGGAAAAGATTGATTTAAATTTGACTAAATTTTTTATAACTATAAAAAAATCAAAATTGAAGAAAAAGGGCAATAAAAAAGAAGCTCATTCAAAAGTAAAAATAACTGGACTTGAGAAAGTCGAAAGCAGAAAACTCCGGATTTTCAAGTTCGACCGAGAAACGAAAATCAAAAATTTCATTTTGAAATCTCGATTTGATCCTCAGATAAATGTTATTTTACCTGATTCGGATGGTTTTCACAAACCATACGCATTAAAGCCTGAAGGGTCGAAAAAGGAAGAAATATTCATCAGCAGTCCATTCGATAGCCTAAGCATTTCTTACTACGTTTACCACTCGCGACACGCACTGATAAATGGTCGGCTTCATATTTTTGGTGGATTGATTTCTCGGCAGAAGGTAATAAAATAGAGAAAATAGTCTCGTATTTTTATAGATCGCGCGATTGGATGGCTGCCGATTCGTCGAGTTGTCTTCTCGGCTGTTGTATGATTTCAGATATGGTCATTCTGCTGTTACGATTGAAAAAGGCAGCAAAGGTGAATTTTATATGAATTGTTAGTCATTTAAAAACTTAACAGACTTTTTGACGAAAAATGACGAAAAAGTCCCAATTTTGCTATAATTTTAGATTTTTATTGGTCAAAAAGTGCTCCGAACAAGTTTTAATGGTGAATTTAACTTCGAGGCACACTAAGAAGCCAAAATATGGCTTTTTTGAAATTTTCGATTTTTTGAGGAAAATTGTTGACGGGGGGTCCTTAAAAGAAAAATACTTTAAGAATTAAGTTGCGAGTAAATTAAGTAAGAAACATATAAGAAAATTATTTCTAGCTATGATTTGTTTTGATTTTTTGGACCGAAACAAATGTCAGTTATTTGATGAATTGACAGTCAAACAGAAGGACAAAACGAATATGATACACAGATCTGGAGAATTGGCCCTGTACAATGGCCGTTTGATTGCCATCGGAGGTGGGGATGCAACAGGAGTAGTTGAGGAATTGACGGAAAATGGATGGAGAGTTTTAAGTCATTTGTCTCATCCAAGGTAGACGTTTGCGAGGACTTTTTATTTAAAGATTTTAGATGGATTTCTTATTTTTCTGCGATCGGACTTCCTTCTGGAACTCTTTTGACCAGGGTTCTTAATCTGCGCTGGAGATTAGAAGTCGAGTCGAGTCGACTTATTTCCACAAGCACTTGTCGATTTAGAACCCTGTTTTTGACCATCGGAGGAATAGATGAGAGAGATTTCAAATACCCTGATTTTGAAGCATTGAATGAAATTTGGGAACTGAAGAACGGAAAATGGTCGAATGTTGGCTCACTTTCAAAGGTTTATTAGTGTATTGATAAACAATTTGTTTGCTTTTTTCATCTATACTCTAGACTGTTTATCAATTATCTGCGATTTTCTTGGACAGCAGCGTATTTGTTTTTCCTGGCTTGGTTGACGCAGGCTACCCAATTATCCACAAAATTGATCTAGGTTAAAGTTCTGAGTTGTTTTCAATAATAATTATTAAAGTTAATAAAAAAATTTGAGTCAATTATGTAAATTCGGAGCTTTAAAAAGACTCGGCTGATAAAATTATTGAAACTCAAGTCATCGCGAAGCAAGAAGAACGGCAAATTTTGAATGCGATTATTTTTGTGACACCTGTTAATCAGTGCTCCAAGTATTAATTGCCTCGAGAAAATAAAATTGAATTGCTGAAAAACTGGTCGTTTGAAATCAACGAAGAGATTTTCATTGTCTAAAAGCATAAAATATTATTCTTGAAAGTTAATGATTTCAAAGCTCTTTATTTTGTTCAACACAGGGACAAGTATTCAAAGTCATCACGAGTTCTTTGTTGCACTCGTCAAAGCAGTCTCGATCAGGAGGACACAAGCGAATGCAATTTGTCTAAAACCAATGTGACTTTCACTTGAAGCAATGTTCTTACATGAAATTCCAGGGCGTCTTCTCTGCATTCGATGTAGTTTTCGTTGTCAGTTTCAGCGGCTTCGCAGTTTTCCAAGCAAATCGGGTTTTCACAGCTATCGCAGCCGTTTGGGCACTTTTCTCCACAAGGACAGGAAGAAGAGCACTCTAATTATTATATAAGGAAAAAATAAATTCAGTGAATAACCGGAAAACTCGGCGAGACAAGCATTTTCGCAAAGATGGTCGCTGCATTCACTTCTGCATTGAAGATAGTTTAGTCGACAGATTGTGTAGCATTCATCGTAGAGCTCTTCGTCTCTGGAAGAGAAACAAATTTCAAAACCATATTTCGGTCACTTACGGGCATTTGTCATCTGGTACTTCTGGTCCTTTGTAGCAAGTTTCGGGGCTTTCGCAAACGAATGATTTTGAAGTTGCATCGAAGGAAAAATTCGCATCTCGAGCAAATTTTACGAAGTAGTTTTCCTGTCATTTGGCTCTCCCATAAAGAACATGAATTTTATAAACATTTATCATTATGAAAATTAATTTCTTTATGAATGAACCATTCGCTGAATAAGTTCTCCATCAAAGCAAGCCGAAAGTTCCAGCAAATCATCCTCAAGCGGCTTCTCATCCTTCAGATTGGCGGATGTAGCAAGAGTTGAAAACGTGAATTTTCCAGCGTTGTTGTTGCTCACGAACTTTTCAAAACGCTGTTTAGATATTCCGACAATTTTAGAAAAATCTCCCAAAAACGCGAATTTTCTGTCGTTCAACAAGGTGATTTCTGCAAAAGTCGTGAGAGAATAGTTGCTTTGAGGAGTGAAGGTAAACTGAATAATATAAGATCGATTATTCTTGCTTTTTTGATTACCGTTGCGTCTGAACTTGTGTAAGAGCATTTGTTTCCACGAGTTGGTTGTGATCGAATGTAGTAAAATTCTGTGTTTTCATCAGCTCCTTGCAAAGATGCTATTGGAAAGGAGAAAGATGTAGTTGTTTGGTGCAAAAGTATGTAATTGTTTGTCAGTTTGTTGTTTTCTGCATCAACGCCGTCATAAAACTGCATCTGTTGATAATTTTGGGAGGGGAAATCGAGTAGAAATAATGTCAGATATGATCAACAGTCCTCTATTTCAGCATATGTTTGCCAACGAATCTCCGTTCCTTTTCCAAGTCCATTTTCTTTGCTCCCGATTCCAGCGAGATCTGCATCCATCGGCGCTGCGGGCACGTCTGGTTTCAAAATGACTCCATCATTTCGACAGCATTTTGACAAGATAGCCCATTTGAACTTTCCTTTTTGGTCGCCGAAACGGACTGGTCCAGTGCTAAAGTCTATCTTGAAACAGTTCTTTAATTTCTTGGTAACCTCAAAGTAACAGCAGCAATTTGGAATTCGGCGTCGATTTTTTGGTATTGGTAGTTGTTCAGGCCGTCGTACTCCCCACTCAAGATCGGACCAGTCATCGGTCGAAGTCCAAGAGCATTTGTGAAAAGACCTGTCAAACCGTAATCGAAGTTGAACGGAGAAGTAACCTCCAAAGAATGGACATGGGTGAGCAAGGCGGCGTAGATTCCGATTCTGGGATTTGCGTTGGCGAAAGTCATTCCAATACCTTTCTTTGGCCTCGTCCCAGCCGGTACTGCAGCGTTAGAGAGGCCTTCGTGCATCCTTAATTACTTCATTAGAAATAAAAAGAGTGGAAAATTTTACGTGAAAAGCCACTCTTCTCCACCGCCGATTTCCAAGTTCGCCCGACAGTGCTGATTCAAAACTTCTTTCGTGTATCTGATGGTCATTTGAGAACAGCCAGACCATCGATCATTGAAAAATATATCACTACGCGTATTATAATTCTTAATTTCGGGAAGAGCTTTCCAGTATTGTCTATCATTGACGATCGTGATTCCACCATACCAGCATTCATCCCTGTACGGGCAAGGAATATGACTGTCTGTATCTCCTCCTTTTATTTCTGCGTTCCAGCAGACTTTGTTCCGAGAATATGGTTCAGAATGAATTTTCTCTTGCCTTGATTGAATTCAATATTCCGCTAAAAATCTTTTAAACTCACCTAACGTTAGCGTCGACTCTTTCACAAAGATATTGATCTTGAAGTTGAGGAACACTTTCTAGCTTTGCAGTTGGAAAGCCATACTCACAGTCCATCCCAAAGTTGAGATTATAATTTCGACTCAGCTCATAATAAATCTTTGCTGTTCCCCATCGGTCACAAGATGGAGGCTCCGTTTGTGGAGGCTCTAGCGAGGGAGGGCCCCAAATGTTATTTCGATTGTTCATGTATTTCTTAAGGCCAAATTCGTCAGTGTCAGCCCACCAGTCGGCCAAGTGAAAATAATTAACCAGAACAGGAGCATCTCCACCAACCAATTCCTTTCCAAGTTCCATCAATTCGCCAGACAAATCAACTTGAGTCTTCCCATCTTTTGTAACCAGCCCGTCGTAGTAGCTCCCCACAGCAGTGGTGAACATTGCTTTTGCATGTTGGGGAAAATCATTCTTTTCAATGTCTTCTTTAAAAGTTGAGCAGGGGCAGTCATCGGAGAGTCCCATAGCTCCAAAGACCTTGATCATATCTCCCCACTTCGCGATAGCTGCTCTCGGTCCTTGATTCGATGTCACAAGAATAGTAGTCGACTCAAACGGGACAAAACCAGTTCCATCCTCTCGTTTCTTCACAAACTCCTCATAAGCTCCACCGATGTGAGATCGGGCGCCTCTCGACGTACCAAACTCGAGGTCCAGTTGTTCAACAAAACAAGTTTCATCTTCTACTGGAGTCTTGAGTTTAAGACGAGCTGCTGCTTCCAAAAGCATGCTGTAAGCATTGTCTTTGGTGTAAATCCAATAATCTAAGTAAGAGTAGAATGAAGCCAAACTTGCTGGAGAAATAATGATCACATCCTTTTCGTTCTTGTGGACGAGCATAACTGGTCCTCCATCGAGCCCCTCGCCATCTCGAGCGATATCTTTCAAAGCGGAAACCTTCCATTCTCCATTGACAGTGTGTTCTCCGCCGAAATGATCGCCTTTCAGCCACCAAAAGAAGCTATCAGACGATTCCGGCACCTTGAAGCTCGGAAAACCAAAAAGAAGGTCTCCAACTCGTCCTCTGACGTCAGTGTTCTTCTTCGTCTCCGGTGAAAATTGTCGGAAATCGTCGAAAGAAAATCGGTCGCTGAAGAAATACACGCCCAATTGATCGAAATGCCGGATGATCATTTTGCCAAGTTTGTCGTTTGACCTTGCTCCGTAATGCTTCCAGCTGTATTCTTTGAAATTGAACATTTCGTATTCTTCTTCTTTCAATTCGTCGCACTGGTCTTTTATCGGAAGGTAGTAGCCAAATCCGCCCAAAATATCGACCTCGGTGTCGAACATGTTTTTCTCTACAGTTGGATTTTTCTCTGGTCGGTCTTCATACAACCCATCGAAATTGACCTCGCAAATGTCGTCATTTTCGTCAAAGTTCTCTCCAATACAGTTGGTGTAGCAATTTATGATATTGATTGCAGGAGTACTTCCGTCATCGTACGGACTGTATTCACTAAGCGATGCAGAAATAAAGCCAGATTCCAAGGTTTGAGCGCCAGCAGTCAACTTGAACTTTCCGAGATCGTCTTTTTCGCGTTTTGAAACAAAAAATTAAACCCTTTTTTCATGAAAAATTTCTAAAACGACCCCTGCGCCGGTAAAAGTTGGAATTTCGATGGTCGTAGAATGATCATTCTTGTACTTCTCGAGCCAATAGGCACTAGTTCTTCCCTGCAATAATATCAGAAAACTCAAGAAACCAGCGGTTTCGAGGCGATTCCGCATGACTCTCTCTCTCTCTTCTATCTCTTTTCCTTTCAACTAAGAAGAGGTCTGATGGAAAGATTTGTATGCACTTGATTTTCTGGTTAATAATTTTTTCTCACAATTACGTTTTTCACACATTCAAAAACAAAGATTGATGAAATACTTGCTTCATACTCGGCATTACTCAATAATGACTCTATCATACACATTTTGTTGATTTGAACAGTGTTTATTTCAAAGAAATTGATGAAAAGTTATTGCTGGAAGTAGTTCGCTCGTAGCATCCAATTGTATGGCTAAATTCATATTTTCTCTGAATGTGCGCACTTCTTACCCAAAGAGCCCAAGGGGTCTTCTTGCTATCCCTCACCCTATTTCTTCCCCAAGCGTTGCTCTTCTCGAACAAAAAAATCAGCGTAAGCATTGAAAAAAGTTTCATTATTATGTCTCCGAGTTTGAAAGGCGTAATGGATGAACTTTTCGTCAGATACTGCTTTATATGCTCAGCTTTGAATTTTTTATGCGAGTTGACAATACTGAGGGCTTTAAAATAACATTAAAAAAGGTCGAAGGTCGCTCAGGCATAAGGTCCGTTAGGCGATTGAATAAAGGCAGTTACGCCATTTAGGACCGTTAAGACAAAAAGACGGTTCAGCCATATGGACCATATGAGTTACGGTTTTTTCGGCTATTCTTGCGGGTTCGCAGCATCAAAATTTATGATTCACAAACAAGAGAAAAGAAGTCGAATATCATATTCATCTCCTTCAAAATTGAAGATCACGTCAATATAAATTGACTTCTCAAGTATACTGTATAGAATTTTAAGTCAATAAGTACGATTTCGAGTTCAATGTTGATTTCGACAATATATTTATTCCAAATATATGACTGATCATGTATCAGATGCTCCTAAATTTCCAGCACCTGGGTTTTTTAATCAACAGTGAACTTGAAATGGTAATTCTTGATTGCAAATTCTATCCAGTATACTTGAGAAGTCAATTTATATTGACGTGATCTTCAATTTTGTCGACCAGAAAATTATTGAAAGCTGGTTATCTCAGAAGATTCTACTGATTGCTTCATCTTTTTAATTTTAGATGTGATTTCGTCTAATTCACATTATCTTTCCATCCCTGGTCTAATAAAGAAAAAACAAGTTTGATCTTTATTTTTTTTTTAGTTTTATTTTGTGAAAAGATGGTTGTAAAATATGATAAAATGATGTAAATCAGAAAGCAGGCATAAAGTACTGTTGGTAAGTTTCTTCAGCGCCGAAAGAAACAGTTTCTGGAGCGCTGAAGATTTGTTCTTGAGCATTTTCGGCGAAGACGGTTGGAGGAGAGTAGCAGCCAGAATCGGTTCCGGGACTTTTGTTTCCAGTTTGAGTTTCGACTTGAACTGGCTGTGTTTCGTAGAATTGATTGGGGTAGACTTGAGGCTGTTGGAAGTAGAATTGCTGGTTTGCTGAGAAGAAGTTTGGCATCATTTGGGTTTCTTGGCCGAAGATAGCGTTTTCTTGAGGCCAGGAAACTGACGGAGGAGAATTCGAAAGCTGAGGAGGTGAGGGCACTGTTGGCATTGCTGGAGCATTTGATGGACAAAGAGCAGTTTGAACAGGTTGATTTGAAGATTGCTGAGCGTGGCATTGTTTTCGGTATCGAGCGCGTCGGTTGGAAAACCAGATTTGAACTCGGTTTTCTGTCATGCCAGTGAGAGCGGAGAGTTCTTCGCGGACGTAGACATCTGGGTAGTGGGTTTTGAGGAAGGCGCTTTCGAGGGCGTCGATTTGCGCTGGAGTGAAATTTGTTCGAGCTCGACGGGGCTTGGTAGGCGCTGCTGGTGGAGGAGAAAGGATGATTTCGTCGGTGGATGGGTCGGTGGTGTCTCCTTCTTCAGCGCAGCCTTTGGATCGGAGATGCTTTTTGATGGCATCGACGGACGGCGGTTTTTGGACGCCATTTTTGACCATTTCTTCTCGGATCTCCCAGGCAAAGGAGAATTGTTTTCGGTACTCGACGATCAGGTACTCTTGCTCCTTGCTGACATTTGATTTTTTCTTCGATCCTCCAGAAGCGCCGGGCTTGATTTGCCCAGTTTGTTTGAAACGAGAGAGGATTTTGGAGACGCAGCCGTGGGAGACTCGAAGATCTCGGGAAATGACGCAGGGACGGATTCCCATTTGAAACATTTGGACGATTTTTTCGCGGGTTTCGAGGGACAGGGGACGACCATTGACGAAGGCACCGCCGAGTTGGTTGAGTTTCGCGCTGCTTTGCATGTTGGTTGATTTTGAAGGTTTGTTGGTTTGTTGTTGGATGATGATTGTGATTTGAGTTGTTATGAGTTCCATGAAATCGGAAGTGGGTTTTATAGGAAGGGAATAGTACGCCATCTAAGAGGGGAAGACAGCTGGAATCAGGTGCATCCGGCAGTGCAGAAGGCGCGTGATTACTTTCACCATGACTTTTTTTAAGGTGCAACCGCGGCATCATTGATTCCAGCTGCTAAGGCAAGGTGCGCCTCACTTTCAATGCATTTTGAGAGAATAGAGATTGATAGAAAGAGCCTCTTACTGTATTTTCAACTGAAGGAAACTCTTCTGTAAAACGACATCCTGAAATGACAGCAACCAATCAAAGCTGTTTCCGCTGAACAAATGTTCCATGAAGTGATTAGTTAAAATAACGGATTAGAAACTGGCCATCGGTCGAGGAAAAATTAAAAATTCGCAAAATGGCTAATGAGGCGGCAGAGCCGGAACTTTTTTCAAAATTGATCGATTCGGAAAAGGTCAGTACAAAGCGGACATATTGGTAATCTTTAGCTAACTGCTTGTCAGAACGGGGAATTAGCTTTTCGAATATGCAAAAATCGCGGCGGGTTTTGAAAAAGAAGTTTTCTTTTAACGATTTTCAACTGTAAATTCAAAACAGAAGAAGCATTAGATCATGTCTTCTGGCTTGGGAATCCGGTCAGAAGCGAGCCAAGAAACTAGAATCCGAATTCATTCTTCCACTTCCGCTGAAAATTGAAAAAGTTGATTTTGGACCAAATCGCGGCTTAAAAGTCACAATGGCAAGAGCAGGAAGCGAGCTTTCAAGAATGAAAGGAACAAACCGCAGTATCCAACACTCAAATACCCGCTGAATTTACTGTATAAACTCAGTAGTAATACATTCACCTGGCTCTTTGAAGGAATGCTATTTTTGCTCATTTTAGGCGGGACTTCCTTTTCGCCGTTTTTGAAGAAAACATCTTTCTCGGAAGTCATTTTAGAATCTTGACTCTCACGGAAAAAAATAAGGGGATCATAAATTTTCACGCGCGGGAAAAGAAAGTATCCGATCGGCGGAAATTTCGGAAATTGTTGACCTCGTTAAATTTTCTATATTTTGGCTCCTTTTGAAGGTTATTGGGCTCAAGAAACCATTTTCACGGTTTTGGAACCGTAGATAGATTTGAGAATGACCGTAGTTCTTTTACATCTGCAGATATCTTAAGGGTTTACTAGTCAAAAGTGGAAAAATCGGCTTTGAATTTATATTTTATGTTTATTTACAGTCGTATTTCTACAATTTACAGTAATCATCAACCTTTCTTCAAATCATACAGTAAGGCACAGTAATAAAAAGAATCAATGAACAAGTTGAGCATAATGATCGTTTTCGGTGAGACTCTCTCCTCGTCCGGAATCAGCCGTGATCGATCCGATTTCGGAGTATTCGTGGCCGAACTCGTTGATTTTCTGGCTCGGATTAGCAACCAGCTTGGGTTGGTAGCTGTACTGGGGGTAGGATTGGGCGGGGAGGACGTAGTCGACGTGGGAGTGCTGGGTGAAGCGGGATTGGTTAGTGACGATGGAGGGGCCAGTGCTGTAGTTGGGCGAGGGAACGAGATTGACGAAGGTGCCGTCGCGGTAGATAGTGGTGCCATCGTAGGATTGACCTTCGAAGTTCTTGTCGGATCGGTTCGATCGGGAGACAACGAGGAAAACGCACAAAATGACGAGGAAGAGCAAGCCTCCGAGGACAACACCGCCGACGGTGATCCACTGGTTCGTGGTCAGGGAAGAGTCGAGCTCGATGAGAACAGAGTCCATTCGGATCGGGGCGATTTCGGACTCGTCTTTTGTCCAGGAAATTTCGGAGAGGTGGAGAACGCCGGTGTAGGAGATTTTTATTCTGAAAGAGTGATTTTAGAATATTGATCGAAGTGGTGTTTAATGAATTTTCGGTACTTTGCGAGAAGGTTTTTGACTTACCGAATTTCGGTGACGACTTTTTCGAGCAAAAGAGGAATGATTCGATGCTCGACTTTTCTAGCGCAGTCAATGTTGTATCGCCAAGTTTCGTCGGCCGAATTCGTCACTTCAATTTGATTCAAGCAGCCTCGCGCTCGAGCGGAGACGTGAAAGACGAGTTCTGAAATATTGAGCGGCTTGGTCCATTTCATTGTCACTGTCAAAGCGCCATTCTCGCTCGCTGGAAAGGTCAAATATTCATCTTCGATTCCGTCGACCAATCGGCCAACACCGCTGAGGGAGGATTCGACGAGGCCAGTTTCTGGCTCCAGGTTGTCTCTGGGAAGACTGGAGAGGGAATAGCTCTCGAAGAAGTCGTCGCGATAGCAGCCGATCACTTCCGTTCTGATGCAGACTGGCTTGCCTTTGTCGGTTCGTGGGATGATCCGCAGGAATTTGCCGGAAATCGAGGGGGAAAGTTCGATGATGTCATCGTCGGAAGCGACTGTAAAGACGTCTGGGTGCTGGGACCAGTGTTCTCCATCGAGAGAGACGTTGAGGAAGACGGTTTCAGCTCGCTCAGACCCGCTTGGTCGGCCTTGGAGGGCGATTCTGGTGATTCTGGCGATGGAGAGGAGCTCGATCTAGAAGAATTTTTTTAGTTACAGTTATTTACAGAAGCAAGAAACAAAGAAACTTGGCTTGATCCGCACTCTGCTCAGCTGATCTCCCACAAAAGAGGGGCCACTTGAGTCGGATTTTCCGGTAAAGCGCAGCTGCGCAAAAAAGTGGCCAAAGTCAATATCAGAAATTTTCAGGGCTTTCTGAAATTTTGCACCGAGGAACCGCAGCGTCAAGAGCTGCCAAAACGCGCGAAAAGGTCAATCGATGCGAAATCTCGTGTTTGATATTAGCTGAGCGGCTTTAAATTGTGAATTGAAGCCAACTAACAGTACTGTAGTTCAGTTCTCTTTACCTGTAGATATTCGTTCAGGTCTTCAGGAGAAATGGTCGGATGGCACCAAGCTCCGGCGCCGTCCTCGTTGTTCAGTCTGGCATAATGGGCTGCTGCAGAGTCGGCGTGGCTTTTTGAGGCTTTGAAATTTCGGTCTGGAATTCGCCCGTCTTCAACGCCCAGCGGGAAGTCGCATTCTGAAAAAAATCGGGATAAGCCTTGTTGTTTTCAGCGGGACGCTTTTGCGGAAATTATACATCATCCCCCGGCATGGCCTTTTTTGGATTGGAGAAAATTGGAACACTGGCATATACAAAAGGGGATTAAAAAGGGGACAGAGTATCAAAAAAGCTTGATACTCGAGCTCGTGTTAAAACAATTCTCAAATTCTCGCTCCAATTAACCCAGACTTCGGGATTATTTTATGGCCATTCGGAATCTGACACCTTGCGTCGCTTATTTCTCAATTACAGCTGGCCCAGGTTAGTTCTGTTTGCTTTTTATTTACAAAATGTAAGCTCGGGCACAAAGCTGCGTCCTTGTCAAAATGAGAAAAGGGTAAACACATGCGGATTAGGATAGAATTTCTAGCTCTAGGCTTCTTATTCTTGGGAAAACTAATAAACAAGCTATTCAGAGGGGGTTCCCTTAGTGATTCTCGCGAATTTAACCTCTTTTGGAAACAAATTTGCTATCGAGGGGGGTTCCCTTAATGATTTTCTTCAAAAAGAAGCCATTCTGAGCTGCAATTGAAAAAACTAATCAGTGCATTTGATTCGAATTTAATCACTGTGCCCAAATTAGCCTTTGCCCCAGGCGATCGCCCAAAAGAAAATGAATTCAATAGATTCTTCAACTCGAAAAATGTCGCTGAAAATTTCACCCTGCTGAGCAGCTTTCGGAAGAACTTAAAAGCCCATCAAGTGGGTCTCTTTATTGATTCGGAAATTCAACTGACAAAAAATAATTTTTCAAATTCCGGAATAAAATAATTTCAAGCGCAAATAAGATTGTTGAGAAAATTTTCTGCTGCCAGGAAGTCGCCCGATGTTCACTTACTGTCAGATGGCAGGCGATAGGGAGGAAGTGATCTGACTGTAAATGACACGCGGCGCGATTTGATTCGCGTGATAGAGGAAGTACCTCGCTCTCAGAATTACTGTGGACGGGGAATTAAAGGATTTCGGAAAGAAATTTTTAAGAAAAAACTGAAGGGGAAATAATCTGATAATGTTAAGGTCACCGCCTTATGTAAAAACCGCCGCTATCTGAAAAATTGGCGCGTGTCCTGCTTTTCCCCGCCCTCGGAAGGAATTCTAGAGCCACTCCAAAATTCACTTTCCTCATTCACGATTTTTAAATTCGTTTAACTAATCCCGCTAAACTTACTCGTCAAAAACTTTTTCTAATGCCATTTCTGGAGGCGCGCCAGTTTTTTGCCGTTCAGCAGGGGGGAGTTAAATTTGCCGCCGCAAAAGAGCCGGAAATAGAAACCCATACTTGGATAAGGGGATCACGAGCAGAAGAGAACGACTCGCCGGAAATTGGCTCAATGCCACTGTTTTTTGAAAATTTGGGAAATTCGGAAATTCGAATAATTTTATGATGAAAAAAGCTCTTACCTTGAAAAGAGTCGCCCGCCGATGCAGCTGAAAAAATCGCGAAGAGGAGAATCTTCATGTTTTTTTTTTGGTTTCTGAAGAGGAAATGAAAGTTAGATTTTTACAAAAGTTGTATCCTTGGAAACGTTTTTTTTTTTTGTTGGGGGATGATCCGAAGGGTATTGTCGGGCAGAAGCCAAGTGGAAATCGAAATAAAGCGAATGAATACAATACGAAAAACTGTGCTTTTTCACTGGAAGATATTAAAATTACGAATGATTCAGGTGTTCGAATGATCAAAAGGGAGCCATCTGTATTCAGAAATGTGGGTTTCAATAAAAATTGCTCTCTTTAAAGATTTTTAAAGCAGATTTTAGATGAAAAAAGTGACCATTTTTTGAATTCTGATTTTTGATTTTCATAAGAAGTAAGTCCATTTTTCTGTTAACAGTAATCTTGCTACTGTAATATTTTTACCTGATTTGGAAGGAGCAGTCTTCGTTGATTTCTTCTGCTTGTATCTCTTTCTCAGTTCTTTTTGGCTTTGGAAATCGCTATTTATAAATTTAAATTATCGCCAGATTTTGGAAATGACGATTTGGGGTTTTTGGATAATGTCTCTTGATTCCGGCGTTACTCTTTTTTTTGCGGCGGGGTGATGGCGCTCTCCTTTTCCTGCGCGCGACGGAGATGGCGAGAAAGAGCTGCGCACGCGCCGCCGCGTCAAAACGCACAAGCCGAGCTGGAGCAATTGAGGTCGATGAGCTTGAAAAGCGTGATACTCTTGTTGTAGCGATCTCCGGCTGCTTTGAAGAGGGTGATACTTTTTCGTGTTTGTAAATAGCCTGGGGCGGGTGTCCAAGGGGGAAGGAGATGAAAGTAAGGAGGTGTTTTGGGCTTGTTTTTGAGATAATGTTATGGTTACACTTCCTTTGTAAATTTACTGTAGAACGCTGTTTTTTAGCCTTTTTTGCCCAAAATTACTCCAACAGGTTAGTTCTAAAAATGAACTTCTTCTTCTTTCTCGTCGAAAAAAACATGACAGTAACCATAGAAATCCGGCGATAAAATAGCTTCTCCTAAATCCCCCTCTGCATTTCTGTGCTGCAGAAGTGCTTACTGTGTGCTTGTTCTTGTATCTGGAATTTGAGTTTTAATCTTGTCCAAATTTCCGCCAAAACGACAAAAATCAAAAATCGCGTCGCTCCGTCTCCGGCTGGCCTTGGGCTCCTTTATCAGCTCTTTTTCTATTTCGCGTTATCGGAAGAGCACACAACTCGACCATTTGTACACAACAAAAGTTATCGGCAAAAGGGCCATTAGAGGGACTTAACCCCTTGTGGCATTTCGATCGAAACTAGCTGCCAGAAGAGTAATCTGTTTTAATTTTGTTGGCAGAAAGCGTCTTCAAGTTCGAGTCAGCTTTAATCGAATTTGCAGGGCCCTAACTCCATTTTTCTCAATTTCAGTTGGCGTAAAATATTCATCCCCGTCCATCTGCTCGCTAGACCTTTACATTTCAACTGACTTTTTATGCCCTCTTGATGGATTTCGTTCTTTATGCTCTCCACGGTCAAAATATGCAAATTAAAAATAACGGATTTTCTAATTCGATTATTTTGTTCTTTTACTGTTTCTTTCTTTTTCGACTTCCGGCGGGGGATGAAGACAAGGAGTAAAAAAGGGAGCCATCGATCATTTCATGAATGATTTGTTTCCAACTTATCAGTCCTTATTTGTCCCAAACCCATTTGATCCGCGCGAGATCCGAAATTCTTTCGTGCTCCACAGCCGCCGATAAAGGACGGGAAAGTTGTCCGCCTTTCCGACGCGTGATCGATCGTTCTGAGGCTTTTTTCTTACGACTTCAGAGAAAATCAAAAACAGGAAGGATTTTTCCCTCATTTTTAATTGCCAAATAAAGCCGGAACTCCTCATTTTACATCAGAAATCGACCTTCTCCGCGGTCATCGTAACCTCAAATGACCTCGAATGGCCTCAAGTGACACCAAATGTCCTCAATCGATCGAAGAAAACGTTTTCACTCAACCTCTCTTTCGTAAAAAGAACCCCCGCTTGATAGTGGCCATAATCAAGGTCAATCAGATTGGATTCCCTTTCCCGTTCCGCTTGGCGCGAAGACATCTGACTCGTAAAATCAATAGTGCTCTGTAACTAGGTGTGGGAAAAGGGAAGATTTTGCGCTTTCCGCGTGTTCCGCCATTGTGCAATTGTGTGATGAAAATCAGGTGCATGAAGAAAAACGCCTCGTTTTTTGCGTTATCTGATTCGAATCGACAGGTTCCAGCGCTTTGATATGCCCAAATGTTACGCTTCTCACTTTCCGCGTAAAACGGGCTTGAAGAAGGTGGATTCTAAGAAGTTGAAAAAAGGGGTTGTTTCGACATGTTTTACCCATTGATAAAAAAGGCTCTTTTGATGGGGGAAGGCATTCAGGATCCCGTTTTAGTTGCTGCTTTTTCTGAAGGAATTAACATAGTGATACCCTTATCAAAATTCGTCAAAGGGAAGCTTTAAACCTTAGATTGGTAAGATAAGGGTATCAGTGATACCGTATCACTATAAAGCTACATATAAGATGGGACCCTTAACGTCTATTTTCTTCAAAAAAAAACTCTTAAGGGTATCACTTTGTTAAATTCAAATAAAAAATTCAAATAAAAATTTTATTGAAAAAGTCGATTCGTGATCTCGTGAAAATCTCGTAATAGATTATTTTTTGTATCAATTTTTAATTACGATAAAAGTTGTACTTTGAAAGAATCGATCCCTTCCATTTATTTCTATTTCGTATTTAGACGAGGAAGGAACGCGAAAATCAAAGTCCGCAAATTGCGCGTGACGCCGTCTGGTCTTTCGCCAAGAAAACCTCAAAAAGATACTTTTTTCTTTCTCGAAAAACGTTAGTATCAATGATACTCCCCACGAGGGTTGATAGCCACTCTTTCGAGCATAATTTTGGGCACGCGCCCAATTTTTCGTTTTCTTTCAAGTATTTTTCAAAAACAAGGTTCCGTTTTTTTTCTTCTTTATTTTTAGGTCACATAGCATAACGAGACAGAAAATTGTCATAAAATTTCTGCGAGCTTTGTTTGTTATCTTGATGATTGCTGATGTATTTGAGGATTTGCTCGCTTTGTCGCATGTTTTCTAGCGCCTTTTGCTTGATTTCGGCCTGAACATTGGTTTTCTTAGAAAAAAGAAATTTCTACTTACAGTAAGGATGCCAGTAAAAAGCGAGGAAAAGAGCTCAAATCTCATTTTCTTCCAGATTGATACCTAAAGCGCTCAAATCAGACATTTTTAAACGGCGGACAAGTCCAATTTTAATGAGCAAATGTTTTCGCCTCCCGAACCAACGAAAATACCGCATTTTGAATCAACAACCCTAAATAAGAAATTTAAATTAAACACGAACTCGCAGCTGCAGGTTACAACTGCTCGAAACAAGCCGCAAAAAATATTTTTTTTCAAAGTTGACATTTTTGATTTTCGATTTTTGCGATTTTCTTGGCCCGAGCGAGATCCTTACTGTAAATTTAATTGGCTGTGTTTTTATTATCTGACCCTTGGCGGGTGTGTGTTTGGCGATTTCCTGTTTTGGGCGCAAACAATGCTCTTAGGAAGGGCACGAGCGGAATACACATTTTCCGGTTTACAAGTCAAGTCTACCGCTAGAGCGGATAAGCCGGAAACGAGACGAGAAATGATCGACTCAGCGGTCAAGAACCCTTTTCTTGTTGAAAACTGGGACGAGTTAATTCAATCTTGACGACTTCATTCATCATTTTCAAGAAGAATTAAGGGTATCCAAAACGATTTTTCATTCTTCTAACATTTTCAGCCAAGAAAGTAGTCAATTGATCCGAAACTTTAGCCAAAAATTTCAAATAAAAAATTCCAGGACAAGTAATTTTCCTTCCCATATTCGGCCAAAAAAGGTGCAAAACACACTTCGCTGCTCAGTAAAAATTTTCCCAGCCCCTAACCACCCTCCTCTAAAATATTTTTTAAGTTGTTTATTTACTGAACTGAACAGGTACTTGATTACGACAGAGAGGAGAAGGTGTCTTTTCCCTCTCTTCTTCGGGTAGGTGTAATCTAATTATATAAAAGACACTTTGCTCGACTTTTACTCGCCCAGAAGTGGCCCTTGAGCTCGTCGGAGTTGTGAATTTTGTCACGTGAACAAAGTCCAACTCGCTCTTCAAATGATTGTAATTTTTTTAGGAATAAATAAGTCATGGAAGGGGATATGCCGTAGGTCTTTACGAGACTATTTGTAGATATTCAGAGAGCTTAGAACACAAAAATCCTGTAAATGTAACTTTTTCGACAATTATGGTTTTTGAAAAAAACTCGTTAAAAGCTAATAATTTCCTTGCTTTAAGTTGTTTCCTCCTTTTCTCCCAATTTTCAGCAACAGGAAGCGCCTTTCCTTGCCAAGTTGTCGAAAAAGTATAAAAACTCCACGTGCTCCATAAAAATTTCAACTTGAGGAAATCACTTTCACGGCCAAGTTCTCGTCATTGTCCAGAAATTTGGGAAGTCGTTACAAATAATGAAAAAAAAAACGAAACAATAAAAAAAACTTCATTTTTTCCAACAAAGAAGGAGGCTTTTTGCAACTTCCTCTTTCCCATGTCCGAGATTGAGGATTCTTTTCTAGAAAGATAAAAAAATAACCATAAAGTTGGTTAGATTACATCTCATATGAATTTATAATGGAAAGGAAAGTCATGAACCTAGAATTTAATTTAATCTAATTTTGACGCCTCCGAAAATAGAGTAGAGAGAGAAATATGCTATTCTCATTAGCGGAGGTCCCTTATCACTGAAATCGACCGAAAACGAGCTCATTCTTGACCTCCTGGTCTGAGAATAACAATCGAGAATGACGTCCCAGTGTTATCGACAGAAATCGTCATAATAAGCTCATCCCACGCTGCGCCCGATCAGCATTATTGCCTTTTTCTGCTGCTCTATAAAATTGACTCCAAAACTCGATAAGCGTCAATTGAATCTTCTGAATTGACTTCTGGAAACTTTCTATTTGCATTTCAAAGTCTTAGAATCTTAAGCAAGCAATAATTTCGCAGTTTCGACAAGGAGTAAGACAAAACTCTGACACGATAATTGCATCCGCAAAGGAAGTGTTCTCACACTCGTTTGTTTTCCTTTCCTTCCTGTCCTTTTCTCGCTTGAGCTGGTTGATAAACGATAACGAATTATTCGAATTCGAAACGCTGCTGATAATTAGCAGCGTAATTCGAGCTGGCTACAAGTTCCATTCCACTGCGCCTCCTTTTCTAGTGCTATTTTCCCAGGACTGACCCTTCCGGAAACTTCAAATTTGGAGATCGAAAGAATCGAGTTTTCGAGACGGTCGTAAATCGACCTGGTCGTTCTCAGAGTGTCGCTGCCAGCTTGATGAACTTTGTCTTGATTTTTTAGAATGCGTAAAAATGAACGTTCTCGTTTCTTATTTACGGCGTGTTACTTCAATAATGGATGGGCAAGACGCCCGATTTCCGGTGCATAATGGACAGACCTTTCCAATTCTTGTTTTTCATTAAAATTTTTCATAAGATTGGGGTGAGTAACACCCTTAAATTTGAAAATGTTAAGTAAGAAGTGGATAACGGTGGTATATCCTTAAGAAAAGTCGTAATCTTAAGGGTCCAACACTTGATTAAAACTTTTGAAATACTCACTTTGCCAGGGACACCCTTATTCGCTGAGATTTATCCGCTCAAAGTGGCGTCTCTTTAGGTGCCCCTCTCTTGGAAAAGAGGCAAATATTTAGGTGATCAAAACGGTAAAGAGGCCGCGTTTGAATCGGCGAAACCGCGAATTTACGAATCATTATATTTGCAAGTACGTCCGGCCTCGAGTCCGTGATTTATCTTCAAGCCGGTTGAGAAAGAAAAATACGATCATGAGAAAGAGTGTTTTTTACACTCTTGATAAAAAGAAAAGCCGAAAAATAAATTTGAATTGTGGAAATTAGAGTTTTTGTTTCAAATTTTCAGCGGCGAATTCTTTTGAAAAAATGATATTCAGATTAATTTTAGACGGATGAAATTATGTCTCACCGAAGGATGATGCTTTTAGACGT